TTAAGTAGGACTGTTACTGTCAAGCCCTGTCATTTATTTTATTTTCTTGAGGTCTTCACACCACTATACATTTTTATTTATATACAGGGTGCTCGGAAATGATAAGCAAAAAAACTCTAAAAATGATTTCCGTCAATATAGCAATTTGTTAATTTCTATGTAAAATTTTCCCCTGAATCCGAAAATGTCGTCAAAAGTTATAAAAGTAGAACAATTTGTGAGATATAGTAAATTTTCCATATAATATGGAATTGACTATATCTCAAAAACTGATCTACTTTCATAATTTTTTAGGGTATTTTCGGATTCAGGGGACAATTTGGCTGTTAAATGTGGGGGATACCATGGTATTCCATAGGACACCCTGTATAATCAAAAATAATTTCCCTACACTGTTAAATATGTTAGTAAAACTACTATATTTATACCAAGCAGTTGCATAGTAAAATTACAAATTGTATTGCATTGCAATTTTAATACGCATTTGTTGTAATATTACATTTTGTTTTAGCCAAAGTACTAAACAATTTTTCAATGTTTTTGTTTTTGTCAGATACTTATAGTAATTTTACAATTCTGTATTGTAAAATTCAATTTAAAATTTTGTAAAATTTCTATACATATTCGGAATTTAATTTTACTAAGATAATCAATAAAATTACTAACCAAAGTTTGCTATTTGAATTACAATAAGTGTTTGGAGATATACAAATCAATATTTATTTTATATATCATTATATAATTTTAATCATGTGCACTTTTAAAATTTTTTGTAAAATTACAATTGTTTTGCAAAACATAGGATGAATAAAATTACAAATCAGTGTATAACAATACAAAACTCCAAGACATGTTGGGAAATCTACTAAAATGAGTTGTAATTTTACAATCTATATGTATAAATCCTACACGCATTGTAATTTTACTAAACAGCAGTGGCGGCCCGTCAGGGGAGGCAGGTGAGGCAGTGCCTCATCATAGAGAATTAAAAAATTAAGTATAATTTAAATATTTTACTTTCTATAATATACTATACATTTTTAATATTTGGATTACATGAACTGTGAAATAGTCAATAAAATTGATTGATTTTATACGTGGAATACCCAGCAACATTTAAATTATTTGAATTTGAAACGACCGCAATTTAAACTAATATTTATAGCTAGATGATTGGCTCAGAAGCATGCCTGAACTAATTTAGACTCACGATTGACGTTAGCCTTGTTGTCTCGTTCTATTACATATCATAGTTCTACGTCCAAGGAAATAAGCAGGTGTTGTGGCAACACTGTTTCGGAATTTTAGATAAATTATACTTCACACGTTTTTCAAAATTCAATAATAAATGGTATTATTTTTCTTATAATAAATAGAATTAATCGAAATTATATTTCTATTCTAAAATAAACATATTTTAACACTATCGCCATCTTGTAGTCATCACAGTAACCAATAAAATAAATACAGATTCCTTCTTTAGGTTTGTTTTGGTTATAAAATTCTGAACTGTTTAAAGAACAAATCTGTGGTTATTTACGCAATATTTTGTTCATTCTTTTTCTATAAGTTTGTCTAATTTATGATTCTTTTGAAAGTGATTTATTCTGTGGGTTTAGTTAATTGAACTTGGTGATTTATGTGAATTTAGTCATTATGGATATTACGGTGAGAAATTGTACCGATATTGTTGACCTTGCTGAACAATGAAATATTAATTAGACAAAAATGAGGTTTATTTAAAATAAACGTCATTTTTACAATAAAATATATTTCATTGACAAAGTAGAGAATTCCTTCCCCACCACAGTCTAAGTTTTAAGTATAGGTTGTGAACTGCGACGTCAGTTTTTTTAAGTTGGGTTTAAAAAAATTTCTTCTCCTTTAAATGAGGGCGAAACCCTGCCTTTGCCTCACCAAAATGAAATGTCACAGGCCGCCACTGCTAAACAGTTTGACAGTTTCTAATAAAAAGAATCTCAGATTTACAAACGTTGTTTGTAATTTGATTTGCTATAATGTTATGTAAAATGCATAGTATGTACAGATTGCGGCAATCACGTGATGTTCTTACATCTCGCCTCGGTTGACTTAGGTGGACAGTATATAAGCTCAGGTGTTTTTCGTTTTTGGTGTGTTCCAATACACCAAATTGCCCGACATTGATAAGACCCAAAATAGGTCTATCTGTCTGTCGGTATTTGAAGTTGGTGGAACGCACTTAAAACAAAAACTCTGGCGAGGAGAAGGCTCAATTTTTTTAAATCTTTTTGTAGTATAATATCATTACCATTATTTGTAAATTACTAAATAATTTTAGAATACAAAATAACAATATTTGTATTGTAATATTCCGAAACGAATTTTCTTCAGTTCAGTAAAATTGTAAAATATATTTTGTAATTTTTTTAAACTGAATTGAAATGAATTGTATAGTATAATTACAATACACCATTTTTAAATTACTAAACATATTTAGTATTTTTCTTAGAAATATTACAATACCTGTATAGTAATGTTACTGAAGAAATTTTTAATAAATGCTTAGTGAATTTCAAAAAACGTTTTGTAATTTTCCCAAATTGAGTTGTAATGTATCGTGTAATGAATTTACAAAACTGAGTTTTATTATTACTATATTGTGGTGCGTAAAAACTTCCTAAAGATTTTTAGTAAAATTACAATAGAAATTTTTAACAGTGTAGGATACAGTTAAAGCCTGACAAATTTCAAAATTCTAATTAAATTAATAACTGGGCTACAGAATATGGGATGTGAGCTAGCTGTATGGTAACAGTTTCGATGTTTATATACACCCTGTATATAAAATCTAGAAAGTTGTTTAAGATACTTATAAAGATATGTATGTATATCGCCTTAACCACTTTAAATTAATCAAATCACTTAATTTACATATGACATTCTATAAATATCTTAACGTGATTGTTTTTTTATTACAATAATTGCGTTTTTGGAAAAATCTTACTTCTTTGTTTCACATGGTGGATATTTTTGCTGGATGTAGTAAATTTTTCAAAGGCCAATAAAATATTCATAAAACGGTCGGCAAAGTTGGCTAATAAATTAAAAAATACTGTTTGTTATTTGTAAATGCGTCAAGAAATAAATAATTATCTTGGACATACATCGGTTTGGTCAGTTACTATCACCTGTTTTATAACGTGCACTCTGAATGGCGCCTTTTCGCCCACACAAAAATCTCCATGCTTTTCTCTTGGCTTGGCTCGAAGACAGATAACTACTCGATCTCACATTTTACTTTTTATAATTACTAGTTATTACCGATTTAACATTCCAAAGATTAATATGAAAATAAATCGGTAACGAATACCATTTTCATGAAAAAGTCACCTTATAATGTTCTCAACAACAGAACTCTTAAAAATAGGTCATTTAGTAATTATTTATAAATTTGTTAAAATCTATATGGTCCAAAATTTCAGGAATTATTGCCACATTAGCATTGATTATCTAATAATGCTGAAATTTCAGGTTAAACTCGTCTATTTTACTATTCAAGTCGGGCATAGACAAATTGAATCTAATAACATGTTAAAAATGTTTGTAAAATTACTACATTTTTATTAAACAGTTTCATAGTAAAATTACAAAATGTTGTATTGTATTGCAATTTTAATACGCATTTGTTGTAATATTACAATTTGTTATAGCCAAAGCACTAAACAGGTTCCAATTTTACAATGTTTTTGTTTTTGTCAGATACTTAGTAATTTTACAATTCTGTATTGTAGAATTGAATTTGAAATTTTGCAAAATTTCTATACATATTCGGAATTTAATTTTACTAAGATAATCAATAAAATTACTAACCAAAATTTGCTATTTAAATTACAATAAGTGTTTGGAAATATACAAATCATTATTTATTTTATACAACTTCTGTTTGCATTTTTAATATATATCATTTTAATCATGTACACTGTTAAAATTTTTTGTAAAACTACAATTGTTTTGTAAAACAAAGTATGAGTAAAATTACAAATCAGTGTATACCAATACAAAATTATAATACAATATGAGTAATCTTCCAAGACATGTTGGGAAATCTACTAAGATAAGTTGTAATTTTACAATCTATATGTATAAATCCTACACGCATTGTAATTTTACTAAACATTTTGACAGTTTCTAATAAAAAGCATCTCAGATTTACGAACGTTGTTTGTAATTTGATTTGCTATAATGTTATGTAAAATGCATAGTATGTACCGATTGCGGCAATCACGTGATGTTCTTACATCTCGCCTCGGTTGACTTAGGTGGACAGTATATAAGCTCAGGTTTCTTTCGTTTTTGGTGTGTTCCAATACACCAAATTGCCCGACATTGATGAGACCCAAAATAGGTCTATCTGTCTAGCTGTCTGTCGGTATTTGAAGTTGGTGGAACGCACTGGCGAGGTGAAGGTTCCATTTTTTTAAATCTTTTCAGTAATGGGTCAAGAAAGTTTCTTGAAGAAACTAAGAAAATTGCAGGTTTTTTTTTCTTAGTATAATTACAAGACCATCATTCGTAAATTACTAAATATTTTTAGTGTAATTTGTTGTACAAAATAACAATATTTGTATTGTAATGTTGCGAAACGAATTTTCTTCAGTTCAGTAAAATTGTAAAATATATTTGGTAATTTTCTTAAACTGAGTTGACATAAATGGCATAGTATAATTACAATACCTACACCATTTTACTAAATACTAATTACTAAATATATTTAGTATTTTTTTAGCAAAATTACAATACTTGTATATTAATGTTACTGAAGAAATTTTTAATAAATGCTTAGTTGAATTTCAACAAACGTTTTGTAATTTTCCCAAATTGAGTTGTAATGAATCGTGTAGTGAATTTACAAAAGTTTTATTATTACTATATTGTTATGCGCATGTTTAGTAAAATTACAATAGAAATGTTTAACAGTGCATGCAAATTTCACAAAGTGAAAAAAAAAAAACAATTATTGCAATTCAAATTATTTATTTATTTATTTAAGGATAATTATTTCGTTCAGCGGTTAATTTTCCATCTTGTAGTGAAAAACATGGGAATTTTACCAGGGTTACCATGGCCTCTGATATTTTGACGCATATTTTTCTTTGCAATAAATCAACATGGTTTATTGCTAAACATAAGCCTGGAATTTGTGGAACGCAAAAAGGGACACTGCTTGGATCTAAAAAAAATGTTAAAATTATTTTACACTGGTCTTTTCAGTCGTCTTCTGATGAGCACTGCATAAGTTAAGTAGCTACAGGTCTATTTATATATTTTTAAAATTTCAAAAATCACTCCCAGATTCTTGTTTGAAAATATTTGTTCCAAAAAAATCCTTCTTACCTATTGTATGAGTTAACAGTGGACTTCCATTAAGTTTTAAATTTGTAACTATGCTCAGTTCATTTCCATTGGCCACAGCTTCCAAACATACTGAAAAAAATTATCATAAAAACTTGTGAAGGATTAATTAAAGGTATTAGTTTCATGCAGGACCGTCCCTAGGTTTTGTGGGGCCTGGGTCAAAGATTTTACCTATTAACTGTGTTTACTGTTTTTATGATTATATCCAAATTAGGATATTTCGTGTGGGGTGACCCCCCTTGGGACGACCCTAGTTACATAGGAGGATGTTTACCATCTTGTGCTGGAATACTTGGAAAATTATTGGAGAAACAACAGGAGCAAGTGGATTCGTGGCATTGGCAGGCATCCACGTTAATGAACTTTTCACGGGCTGCATAACAATAAAAAATCCCTAAAATTTGATAAACGAAGTTGAAACATTCTACTGAAAAATAAACGTATTTTGAACATACCGGTTGCAAAAACAAAACAAATCAAATAATTCAAATGCTGCAACATGGCTGGTAATGTGTAGATATCATTTAGACATTCTACGGTCATATATGTATTTTCTCCGTGCAGGAAATTCGTATTTTTTAACAATAAAACCTGTCAAGGCGAATAATATTATTCACTCGCTGAAATTATGCGTTAATAATTTAGTTTTTATTAATGTCATCGCTGTTATTACATATTCAATCAAAAAAAATTGACGTTTATTATAATCACTAGAAACCGGATTATATGCATTCAATTGTGAAAAATGTATTTTTTTACTTTTTTTACAATGCCAAACATAATTTAAATCAATAAATATAAAACACCGACGGAAAAAAATCTAAAACTTTTTACAACATGTTTTTTATAAAGCGAATATCAAATTTTAGGGCCTTTTGAAGTGTTTGAAAGTCCGGTCTTTAATACTCATATTTAATGTACTGGCTGTAATTTTACATTTATATATGAACGCTTATACGTCGAAAATTAATTTTGCACTTGTATAAAATATATTATTTATTACAAGATTTATTTTAAGGTGTTAAATAACGGAATGCACGGTATTTTGTCTATTATTATAAATAGATTCTTTCTTCGATTAAAATTTTGTTTAGTTTTCCATGATGAATCCATAAAAAAGAATGGCCGAACACCTGTTACAATAAATGACAATATTGAGAAAAGTTTGATGCGATCTTAATCTTTTAATTGTAAAAATCTAAAGTATTTATTGTAAAATAATAAGATTTGTATGCCGATTAAGTTTTTATCTTGTTCATTTTTTGTTTAGAGTGGCTTATTTAAGGAAAATAAATAACATTAAATTAAAAGTATTATAAGTAGATAAGAACATTCTATTAATAATTATTTCCTTTTTAAGTACAGAGTTTTAGTGAACTAAATGATATTTTAAAACAAACTTTAAGTAAAATCAACGTAAAAAGTTTATTAATATTTACAAACTGTTTTCGTTTCATAAACTTTGGCAAAAACATTTGCAGAAGAGCCCCATTTAATATTAAAAAGGAAAAATAAAATGCCTTTGAGATTTAGTCAAATCGATTGCGAATTTATTATTCTTTAAAGTCAGCGTAATTAAATAATTTCAGAAGTAAAATTTAAATTATTCGAACAATAATTTGGTTAGTTAATAGGCTGTCATAATAGTATCGGAATTGCTCCGGACATTTCAAATTTTATCTAATAAAAAAGGTCGTTAATATAATATACAAGACCGGAAGCGCTTTTACCTTTAATAAAACCAATTTTCGACACCTGTGAACCTGATAAATTTATTACAGTTTCATTCTTTGAATTATTATTTTTCAAATATTAAAACAATTTCTCTCAAATACTTTTATATTATGCATATTATTTTAATTTAATTAATTAAGATCAAGCTAAAGTAATCGTATTAATTTAAAAAGTGCATTTCATCCTAATTATTGCAAGATGATTTATTTGGAAAAATAATGTGAGAATTTTAGGCTTCAAATTTATTTTGTAAAACATGTGTTGCACAATTTTTTGCTAATCTGCGCTTAACTCGTTTTAATAACTTAATCTGGTTAAACAATATGATTTTTAATTCGTTTAGTCCAGTCAATCGGTTAAAAAAGGATGTCGACTTTTAAAACAAAAAATGTAGTCATACAGAGTGTACTGAAATAAAGGGACCAAACTTAAACAGTGCAATCTGCATAGAAAAAAACACCAATTTGTTTGAAAAGAGTCCTAAAAGGTTATTTTTTCCTTTACCCCAAGAAATAATTTTTAGATACTCTGGTAATTTTATTATGCTGAATATGGATCTATATTTTATAAAAATTTAATCCTAGGCGAACCATTGGGGGGGGGGGGGGTATACAAAATAGCTCCAGCTTTTTTCTGGGTTAATTTTTTATTTTTTTTTAATTAAGAAAATTTAGATGTTTTTACTAAACAGGTAGGTACTCTGATAGTACATTTAAAATGGGTTGGTTAATTTAATCAAAATTGATTTTATCAAAAAACATTATAAAACAAAAGCAAAATAATAATTTTTTTTTTGCTATCGCCTTATCATTAAAATCCTTAAGATATAATTCGATATATAAGGAGTTTATTTTATATCAAATAGTTATCATTCACTAAAAATGAAGCTAATAATCATTACCATTCTTGCCTTAGCTGTTTTGGTTTCTTCCAATCCAGGTAAGATGGCATTTTTCTGTTTCTCTTTGATTGTAAGAATGTTTTTTAGTTAAGAACGAACTCTTCCTAAAATTCGTGGAAAAAGAGGAATGGCATCCCTCTCAAACCTATTTCATGGTGGAAAAATCTCCTGGTGTATACGAAAAAGAAGACTTGCTTTACTCAAAAATTCAACTCACGGCGTCTGAAGACGATGCCACCATCTTTTTCTATTCCAGAAATAACCCTGAAGACCCAATTGAGTTGAGTATATACGATGCCAGCAGTCTTGTGAGTGATGTTCATTATAACAACACCAAACCACACGTCTTTATATCGCATGGTTGGAATAATAACTACCAGAGTAACGTAAACGTTCTCATAAAGGCGAGTCTTCTGGAGAAGTATGATGTCAATGTGTTTGTGGTGGATTGGAGTGGTCCAGCTAATAAAAACTACATCACAGCTAGAAATGCGGTCACTGCTATTGGTGAAGGTGTGGGTGATTTCATCAATTCTTTGAGAGAAGCAACTACGGTCAATCTATCTGACATCACCCTTATTGGGCATAGTTTGGGTGCTCATGTGGTTGGTGGTGCTGGGGCTAGAGTCAACGGTCTTGTTGGTACCATTATTGGTTTGGATCCAGCTTACCCTCTAGTCATTTACGACCATTTGGACGCACGTCTTGATACCACAGATGGTGAGTTTGTTCAAGTGATCCACACATGCGCCGGGTTCCTTGGTATGAAGAAGGTTGTTGGTCATGTTGATTACTTTCCAAATGGTGGTTCTGCACAACCTGGATGTTTTCTGGATTTAGCTGGGTCTTGTTCACATGGTAGATCCTTTGAGTTTTACGCGGAATCTATCCTAGATAATAAGTTTGTTTCTGTCGAATGCAAAGATGAGTTTTACTTTAAAGTTAATAAATGCAACAATAATTTGAGAAGCCTAATGGGGGGTTACATGGACCAGATCGACAAAGAGTAAGTTAGTTTAAAATTGTTTTTCATTTTTATTTTTATGTTTTAATTTTAGGGCCAATGGTACGTTCTACTTGAACACTAATGACGAAGAACCATGGGGCTTAGGCGATATATATTCATCATTATAAAAACTTTAATTATTTTTTAAACCATGTATAGTTAGATATATGTGCATAAATAAAAAATAAACATATATTATATTTTTTTTATAAATACCTACCACAACTTATTATAAGTAGTAATTTTAGTTTTAAAATATTGATTTCAAAAAAATAATCACATACTTCCACACATGGAAGTATGTGAAAATAATCATATACTTACCTTGTGGTAAGTATATGAAAATAATCCCTTACTGCGCCATCTACCAATTTACCGCTCAACTTTATACTCGCACATAAAGAAAACGACATTCATATTTGTTTTAAATTATTTATTGTTAGGTATTAGTAATTTCAGTCTCAATTTTACTTCGCACATCCTCCAAACTAATATCTCCTGTGATCTTTAGCGTCTTTGATCTAGATTTAAAGCCCTAAAACAATTATTCTGTAAAAAAAAATTATTGTTGTATTTTTGGAAAGAATACCCTATCAAAAACAACATCGCTTTTTCTAAGACCTAGTACTGATGCCATGTACTTTACGAGTTCTATATTTGCCTCTCCTTCACTTGGGGGGGCATTTATTTGCACCCCAACACCTTCTTCAGTTATACCTACAATATGAAATATTATAAATACTATTTTTTGTTGTTGTTTAGACCATTATTTTATGTTGTTTAGACCATTAGGACCTGTAATTCCATTCTGTTTTGCACCTGGTTTGGCCAGTATAGAAATAAGAATATTATTCGATTTATCTTTTGTGATCGGTCCTACATCCTAAAAATTTCATAACTATGTATTATTTATATGTTACTTTTGTTAATTAGTGTTTACCTGTGTTTTTAGGTCCTTTGCTTTGTCTGTAGATTTGATTTTGCTCTTTTTGGACATTGTTCGAATAGTATTTGAATTTATATTATTAAAAAATTTCCTTAGTACTACAGGCATAGGTTAATATTTTATTATAATATTATTTATTATATACCTATATAATTTGTTCTCACTTACTTTACCACCTATATTTTTATGTACTTTCAAAATCCTAACCTATATTCTTTTTCTATAACCTAAAAAACAAAGATTGACATCTGTCACCACTTTAGTATATCTGACTAAATTATTGTAAATATTAATAAATTTTAGTCGTTAAAATAAATAAAAATGCCAAAGAAAATGGAAAATACGAAAGCAGTGGCGGCCCGGGAACGTAAAAAGAGCGCAAAAGACGCAGAAACGGCTAAAAAAAAGAAAGAAGAGGAGGATGCCCATTGGAAGGACGACGATAAGCAAGTGTTAAAAAAGCAACAGAAAAAAGTAAGTTGAATGTAAAGCATGGATACAATACTAATTTTGATGTTATTTAAGGAAGAGCAAGAGAAAAAGAAACAGGAATTGCTTAAAAAAAAGGCTGAAGCTAAAGCATTGCTCGAACAAGAACAAGCTGCCATTAATAAGGTTAAAAAGGTGGCCCCTCCACCAAAAATTACAAGAGCACAAATTTCGACAGCAAACACAACGACAGCTCCAGTGAAGGAAGAGAAAAAAGTTGATACTCATCTCGATACTCCCTTAATTGAAAATGTCAACCGTATGGCCATTGAGGGCGAAGAGGCTAGATCTATCAATGAAGCAATTGCTATTTTGAGGTATTTATATATATAGTACACAAGACTATTTTTAATATTTTTTTTCATTTAAGTAATACACCCGATGAAGTGGATAAACATCCTGAAAAGAGGATGAAGGCTGCCTATTCTGCATATGAAGAAAGGCGATTAAAGGAGTTAAAGCTGGACAATTCGTCACTAAAGTTGTCCCAATTAAAACAAATGGTGTTCAAGGAGTGGCAAAAGTCACCCGAGAATCCCTTAAACCAATGATTATTATTAATATATTATCATCGAATTGTGAGAGAGAAACATTTGTTAATTTTTGTTAAATAAAGTCAATCAAACTATTTTTATTTTTTTTATTTATTTTTTCTATAAATTTTTAACAGGTAATGCAGGTGGCGGAACATCCGGTATATCAGGAGTTTTCTTTAAATTCGCTATTATTCGTTTCGGATCGTTCACATTTTCGTAATATTTCCCAAAATTTCTATTCGGCTCCACATTTTCCTCGATATTTCTATTTTCCCCCCTTAAGGGGTAACTCGGCTCGCTTTTTATGTCCCGTTGATTTTGTTGTTGGTAATACGGTTGAATGTAAGGAGACGTGTATCTGTAATATTCAACCGGCAAGGACTGCACGTTTGCCGGAACATTTTGATTTAAATTCACTGGACTTTTTTGCACTTCCTGTATCACTGGGCCTCCATGAAGCTAAAAAAAATCAAGGTAAGGTCGTCAAATACCATTTATCGCATGAACATTTTTAGATTTCTATACTTTAGTTAAGTACTTTTACTGCTTTTTCATAGAGGGCACCAACAGTATTAAAATACATATACTTACCACTTGTGTGGTAAGTATATGTTAAAATACACATACTTCCACACAAATGTGGAAGTATGTGTTAAAATACTTTCACATGGTAATTAACATATACCTATAACTCATAACTTATAGGTATATGGTAATTAAACATTTTTACGTGGTACTTACAAAAAATATATATTCTTTGGTTATTTTTTCATTGGATTTATAAATGGTTCCATATTTATAAATCCAATGAAAAAATAACCAAAGAATGTTTAATAATTTAATAATTTTGTTTAAAAAACGGTTTTTACTTACACAATAAGGCAAAGTAATAGTATACGAGGTGCATACTATACTTTTTCTACGAAAAATACTTATTATTATCATCTTAAAATGATTTAAATCAAATATTTGTATAGAGCGCCATCTATGAATCAATAGAGGAATATGTGTGTCACGGTGACACATAGATTCCTCACCGTCAAATGTCAAATTTTTATATTTTATAAACACATATTCGATGTATTCTTTGAAAATGGACAGTTTTTCACAGTGAAAGTAAAGAAAATGTTTTATAAGCACTTTACAATGGAGTCCGTGCCCGAATTTAAGTTATACCTAGTTTACTGCCGGCGAAATTAAAAGGTCAGTACAATGTTCATATAAACTTTTCAAATATTAGCGTTGAGAAACTATTTAATACTTTTGTATTGAGATAATAAAATAATGTTCACATTTAGTATTATTTTACAATTGCATGACATTTGACAACTGCCAACTAACTTAAAACTAACTTCAGTCCGTGACTAAAAACCTGTTGCTAACTTCAGCCCGTGACTAAAACGCCATAAAGCCACAACTTGTCAATGTCTATTTAAAAGGTGACTTAGTGTCATGGAAACATGTACGATAATGGGCGTTTTATAGGTGGGAGTAGAAAATAGTATATTATGTATCAAGTTTTATAAACGCCATTTTATACATGAATTTAATTTAGGCACGAGCGAGCTTGCGAGCGAGTGCTTAAATTAATGAGTGTATAGAAACGTTTATAAACGAGGTGCATACTATACTTTTTCTACGACATATAAGTACTTAATCTTAAAATGATTTAAATCAAAAATTTGTATAGAGCGCCATCTATGAAACAATAGGGGAATCTGTGTGTCACCGTCAGATGACAAATCTTTATATTTTATAAACACAGATTATAAAGGTTATAAATCGAAATGTATTTCTTGAAAATTGAAAGTTTTTCACAGTAAAAGGAAAGAAAATGTTTTATGAGCACTGTACAGTGGAGTCCGTGCCCGAATTTAAGTTATAGTTTACTGCTGGCGAAATTAAAAGGTCAGTACAATGTTTATATTATAAACTTTTCAAATATTGGTGTTGAGAAACTATTTAATACTTTAAAGTACAAATTTGTATTTTTGTATTTAGATAATAAAATAATTTTCACATTTAGTATTATTTTACAAGAAAGGCACTTTATTTTAACGATTGCATGACATTTGACAACTGTCAACTAACTTAAAACTAACTTCAGTCCATGACTAAATACCTGTTGCTAACTTCAGCCCGTGACTAAAACGACATAAAGCCACAACTTGTCAATGTGTATTTAAAAGGTCACTTAGTGTCATGGAAACATGTACGATAATGGGCGTTTTAAAGGTGGGAGTAGAAAAAATAATTTATGGCAAATATTTTTAAGTTACAAAAAGGGACTGCAAAACCCTAAATAAAAGAACTGAACATTTTTATTATTCTTTACTTTAAGTTGACTACTTTTAGCGCCTTCTTATAGAGGGCACTAGTAATAAAATACCACCTTTTATAATCTGTGATACCACGGTGGTAATACTATTACCACCACATACTTCCACACATCTACCCATTATTCGCTATATTTTGTACAAATAACCTTGTTTCCTTTTTTGAGGGGAAATTTGTCGATTTGCCTTTTACCTTATGCGCATGGTCAGTTCATAAGAGGAGGATTTAAAGGGGGGTTTATACAACAATTGATAATTTAGTTGACAATTTATTTCATAACTCAATTGTTAATTTAATGCATAATTTAATATATAATACATCACTTCAAAATCTGGTTTATACAATTCATTAATTTAATTTATATTTTATTTTTTCACATGACAATATTAAAAATTAAAAGTGACAAATAACACAAAATCCCTTACTCATGTTTTGTAGGATTTGTAGTATTTTTTAAGGCACAAACACAATAATTATTAATTATAACCTTAATAATTATAATAATAATTCATAATTTATTTCATAAAAGTTAAATTTGATGAACTTTCAAGGTTATTCAATAAACACTAAATTGTGAGTTACGATTAAATCGTTGTATAAACTGTTTCATAGCAGATAGTGCGATTTAACTTTTAGTGCATAATTCTAAATTAAATAAAAAAAGCTCTTTGAGTAAAACTTACCACTGGGATTTGAATATTTGGTTGTATGGGCGCGTTATGGTAAACTAATGGTGGAAATGCAACCCCTACGGATGTGGTTCTTAATACTGGTTCGTAAACGGGAATTGCATGACTAGGCGATAGATTTTTCTTGGTACTAATAAGCACGTTGTATATTCTTGGTCGTTTCGGTGAACAAACACTTACTAATATCAGCGTGCTTAGCGTAAACAATCTGTACATATTACCTGAAAATAAATCGATGAATGAAATTAGTTCACATGAATGAAATTGGTTTTAGAAATTTTGCCCACACGTTATTATTTAATGTCTGTGCCTACATACTATTGCTATTTCCTGTGTAAATTATTTTACACCTACTGACCATATAATAAATGCTATAAAAATGGGGGGTATATATATATATATATTTTTTTTTTGTATTTCCGGTAAATTAAGACAAACATTTTGATTCAAAAGGGCACTTTTTTAACTTAATCACTTAATCACATAATCCTAAGGAATGCAAAACACTCAAATAAATCACTTTAAAAGCATATAGCGCACAAAACAATAATTGTTACCTTGTATAAATTGTTTCACGGTAAAACTGCAAATAATTACCTTGATAGAAATGAAAGATCTTATATAGAGTTATGCTGAGGCTGTATATAACATATAAATACATAAGCGTACCTACACCTACAGAGACATCATTTTATTATTCATCTCTATTCATACCTTATAAGTCATAGATAAAAATTTCCATATAAATCCCATAAAGAATAGGTTATAAAAATTATTTTATATTATAAACTGTTGTTAGTTTACTTATATTTAAAAGTTAATTAATGGGTAAATGTGTAGGTGCGCTACTGATTAATATAAATGAGCAATTTACCAACCTGTGCCTATGACATTTTTAAGATTTCAATCCCTTCACAAAGCCTTGTGAAGCAAGCAAGCATTAATTTATTAGTACCATTGTTATTGCTTTGAATAGCTATTTTTTCAAAATCGAAACATGGTCCATCTAGGTACTTAATTTTTGATCTTCATTAGAAAAAAATGGAAGGTTAATACCAAAAAAAAAACAACAAACTTGCATGCATTTTTATTTAATAATTTACATATACATAGGTATGTACTACTGTTTAGAGCGTAACTTGTAGTTCTTCTTTTTGGGTAGCACAGTAGTCTTTTTGGTACCGAAAATTAGATCGTTTGGTAGGGTGTACAATACCTTCGGCGCTGTAGTACTCCTTGTAGGTTTCGGAGTTGTAGTGGTTGTAGTGGTAGTTGTCGTAGTCGTTGTAGTACTTGTAGTACTTGTTGTAGTGGTAGTGCTTTCTTCCTTCTTGTATTCCTCGATAGTTAAACCGTATATTTGCACGAAAAAGTGAAAACCTTTTCCGTATTCCGTGACTACATTAAATTCAATGTAGTCAAAACCTACACCTCCGCTAATAAAACTGGGGTAACCACCATTTCCATTTGGAATTTCGTCATGTATTTTTACGCATGTTATTTTCACAGGACCTTCAACATTTGTCTAAAAATAATAGCAATATTAAAAATAGGGGATAATTAAAAAAATACGTACCCTTATAGCAGCTAATATTTGACTTTTTCCGTCGTTCAATAAAATTATATTTTCCTGGTGCAACACCCTGTGTGTGGGTTTGCATCGTCCGACAAATAAATGGTGTGGTTTGTTAAGAACTTTTAACTCAACTGAAACAGAAAAAAACTTAACCACCAATTTCGAAGTTTCTTGTATTTTTCGTTACTTGTGGATGTCACATTTTTTGTCTCGATTGAAGTTTGCGATCGTTGAATGGATTCTACCGCTGTTAAAAAAAATAGTGCTGTTAAATACGATGTCTTCATATTGTTTATTTCATTAATCTGTACTAGTATTTAAAAATGGTTGTGGACTATTCATCTAGTGTTCAAGTCAAAAGGTTATCGTTGGTGCAACGAACTCATAATAATTAGGGCATTTTTATACATTTACACTGTTGTATAAAAATATGCAAATAAGAAATGTTAATTTTTATAAGTTTATTCGAAAAATTGTAAACTTAAAGAAAACACCAAATAGAAAGTTGCGCCATCTTTTACAGAGTGTTGTAAGTAAACTAAAGTAACCTATCATTGTTTGTTATATCATAGTAGGTAGTGTCATCTGTATTTAATATAATTTATCAAGTTTCTTTATAATTCATTTTATTTGTTTTGTGAAGCAATTAGACATCAACACTATGGAGTTATATTTCAACAGTAAATCGAGGCTCAAATTATGCAAATTGGACCGCAATTAAGTTATATAATTGTTGAAAGTTTGTAAACTTTCTTAAATATTCCTAGATTATCATATAATTTTCTAAGAAGTTGGCCTACAGAAATATGCTCGACTTTTTGCTTTACTAAGACGTTTAGACCCTGCTTTAAATATTTTATTTTTTGCAAAAATGGCGAATGCGCCGGGATACGCTGTATGAAAAAATAGGAAAAACATCTAAACGTTATGGGGAACATAAAAAATATCAAATATTTTTTTATAATAAAGCCAATAAGTTAAACTTTTCGACATAGCTATAACACGAAAACATCAGTCCTCTGGCATTTATAGCATGATTGACTAATAGAATCAATTACAAATTGATAAAGTTAAAGTTGGATACACTCGAAAATCAAATTATGTATAATTCAGTTATATAGTAGACTCAATGTTGTCCATATATTTTGTGAAAGCAAAGAGGGTTAAACGAACCGCGATATAGAGATGTTACTTATTTTCCACTTCATACTGCACGTACATCAAGAAAAGCATTAATAGTATAGTGACACGTAGATGCGTTTTTTTTTCCAAAAAGCATCAATACTTTGTCGATACCAATTGTATTTATTTTTTAATTTTTATTTGTTGTTTGTACAAATACGAAAGTTCTTATAAAAACGGTTTTGTAATTAAAACCTGGCATATTATAGCAATAATTCTTAATTAACAAAAAACACAAAAATGTCTTTATTTTAAACCTTTTAATCTAATACTTTGTTGCATTTGTTTTTATTAGAGCTAATACAAATTAATGTCTATACAAAGCTTGGATTATTGAAGCAAATAAGGCACAGAGGTAATCTTTATACAGTCGACCCTAACATCTCATTTAATGGTATAACACCCCCTATATTACGGTCATTCCCATTTCCATTTGCCAAATATTATGATTAACTATTTCAACGAGTTTATTGCGTTTTTTATTGACCACAGCAAAAAACGTTTTCCTTTATTGATTTCCCATTTTACTTATCCTTAACATGATTTTGTTTTATTACATCAATATCTCTCTAAGACTTAGTCACGAATCTCATTTCATATTAAATAAGTTTGTAACCATATTGTAAATGTCAAATACCCATTTGTTTAATGTAGGACAATTACTTATAAAAATGTAAAATTAGTGGTATATTTTTGAAAAATAATTATCCTAATAGAATATTCTAAGTAGTCCACTGGGTGCAGACAATACGCTGGTTACGGTGACCTGGATGAATGTTTAATACGCTCCGTCGGTGTATATGTGGATTGGTGTCCCCAGTTCAGACATGTCTTATGCAACGTAACATACATAATCTAACAGATTTTATCCGAGGGTTATGCTCCAGCCGTGCTTCTTCCTTTTCCCCGCCAAAAACGCTCTTCTAGAAACCACGTTCAAGTCGATGTCTACCATCTCGTACGTTTATCTCCACGCAATATTATTACGCCGTGTATTTTTTTTATCGTCCCACTATTATGTCGGAATGTTAGCAAATTTTAATAAAATACCATGGCAAAGCAATTTAAAATATTGTTCGCTTAGAATCATTTGCTGCAGATTCTGAACGACATTATTCAACATTTTACTTTGAATTAAATAAAATCTTCCATACCAGAAAATTATAAAATTCAACCTTTTTTAAACACGTTTATAAATGGAAATAAATATGGGTCTGGGTCATATTATAATATGACCCAGACCCATATTTATTTCATGCGAATTATAACAAAATTAAGGTCAATAAAAAACACTATGTTGTTTTTATTTAATGCACATGAAAAATTTGCATAAAAGCGATTTTATTATTACATTAATTATTTAATTATTACATTCTGTTTTGTTTTAGGCCTAAATACTATAATTAATAATAAAGAATTTTAAATGAACAGATAATTCATAATTGTGTAAAAGTATATTATGTATCAAGTTTGATAAACGCCATTTTAGTCACGAATTTGATTTAGGCGAGCGAGTGCTTAATTAAATGAGTGCCTAGAAAAGTTTATAAAAGAGTTACATACTTTTTCTACGACAAATACTTTAATTAAATATTTGTATAAAGCGACTCTATACGAATATAAAGTAACCATTCACCATTAACATTGCCCGTTATTATTTTAATTAATCTTAACCATTATTGCTACTTTAAAATAACTTCAAAATTTGATTAGGTATGTTAATAAAACATGTTATGCTTTGATTTTTTTTATTACTATAATTGCAAAATATTATTACAAAGTATTAAAAATGTAAAAGGTAAAAAAATTGACAGTTGTATTTATTGGAATTCTCGTTAGAATTTCAAACTTGGGAATCTACCGGCGTTAAAATCTCAAATTTGTCGGTGTGAATCAAAATTTATCCATTAAAAATAAACTAACAATTGATATAGAAGCAGTTTTTTATAGTAAAAGAGAAGAGAATGTTTAATGGGCACTGTACGCAAAATTTTTAATGCTTTATCAGTTAAATCCAGTTAACTGCTTAAAAATAATAGTAATAATTTTTAACAATTTTAATGATAAGATAATGTATTATTACTGAGACCAGATTTTTTACGACATATTTTGTAGTAATTTCTAATTTTAAGTTTAATAGTATGCATTACACTTTTATATTTTCTATATTAATACTAATATAACATTTTTACAAAACATCAACTGGATAATTTGGTGTTACATTTGTTATTTTTTCTACTCCCACCTTTATCGTACATGCTTCCATGACACTAAGTGACCTTTTAAATACACATTGACAAGTTGTGGCTTTATGGCGCTTTAGTCACGGGCTGAAGTTAGCAACATGTTTTTAGTTACGGGCTGAAGTTAGTTGACAGTTGTCAAATGTCATACAATCGTTAAAATAAATTGCCTTTCTTGTAAAATAATACTAAATGTGAAAATTATTTTATTATCTCAATACAAAAATACAAAAGTATTAAATAGTTTCTCAACGGCAATATTTGAAAGGTTTATATGAACATTGTACTGATCTTTTAATTTCGCCGGCAGTAAACTATAACTTAAATTTGGGCACGGACTCCACTGTAAAGTGCTCATAAAACATTTTCTTTACTTTCACTGTAAAAACTGTCAATTTTCAAGAAATACATTTCGATTTATAACCTTATAAAATTTGACATTTGACGGTGACACACAGATTCCCCTATTGTTTCATAGATGGCGCTCTATATAAATTTTTGAATTAAATCATTTTAAGATAATAATAAGTATTTGTCGTAGAAAAAATATAGTACGCACCTTGTTTATAAACTTTTCTATACACTCATTAATTTAAGCACTCGCTCGCAAGCTCGCTCGTGCCTAAATTAAATTCGTGTATAAAATGGCGTTTGTCAAACTTGATACATAATATACTATTTTGCAATATAAACCTTAAATCAATTTTAAACTTGATTAAAAATCACGAATAGACCATAAATTAGTATTACACGGAAAAAAAAATGTTGTGGAAAGTACTACAATTGTAGAATTTTCTGGTATAAATTGTTTAAAAAATACGACCAAGAACAATTTGTTAGAAATAATTTAACAATTTTGTAATAAAAATAAACAACAATTTATTGAAGATATAATTATATATTGTAGTTAAATTACTACAATTTCTGTTTTAAATTAATATTTTTATATATTTTAATAAAATATTGTATTGACTAATGCCATTCTTTATTAAAAATAATACAGATTTGCCGTGCTCCAAAATTGTGTAAATTTTTTTACAATATGGTTGTTGTAAAATTTAATTTAATTTTTTTTCCGTGTATATTTTTCAACTTTACACTAGAATTACCCAAATGTCATTTCTGCAAAATTTGCGAAAAACTAAATATGTTTAAAATATACACTTTCCACTCTCTAAAAATGAATTAATCAAAAATGAATAATTTAGTAGTTATTAGTGGCTGCTTTTTCACTTGAACCATGATTAACCATGGAATACCATGGTATCCCAAAATTTAACAGCCAATTCTTATGTAAAATTGTCCCCTGAAATCAAAAATTATGAAAGTGGATCAGTTTTTGAGATATAGTCAATTCCATATTAAATGAGTTTAATCCTTTGAAACCTTTTAAAAATATGGAACAATGTCTTAAAACGATTATTCGGCTTGCGTAAGAAAAAACATGCTTAAAAAACAAAAAACTATTTGACAACTTTGGAAGTTTAGAAAGCAGTTTTATTTAGCGTTCGATAGTAGATTTGAATGCTGCAGCATGGTATTTTGTTGCCGGGAATTTTGTGCATTGGAAGACAGTGAATGTCACATACAAAATAGTTGTAGATCAATGATTGACTATAAAGGTTTGGCGGTTTGGTTCGAGTGGAGAGTAGAAGCATGTGGCATCTCGATGGAAGCACGCGGCAGCGCAGTGCCTCTGATCAGACCGTTTTCTCCATTGCCAGTTTCATGTTTGAGTACAGTTGCAGCTTGCTACGTTCGCCGGTCAACTCACTGCTCTGTTGAAGCTGCACACGCCGCTCACGCACCGCGTGCGACCAATAAAACCGTTTGAATCGCGCTACGCGCTACATCTCGAGGATTTTTTTCAGTGACTCGATAAAATGGTTTTGAAAAGGAAACAGCACAATCGCTATCTCGCGATTGGCATTGTTTATATCGCCACAATTATCAGCCAGGGTAAGTGTGAAATTATTTTAATGTGCAATGGTTGTTCCGTATAATTACTCTTGGTGAACAGGGCAGCCCCAGTGTTTTACAAATTAAATTTATAAATATTATTTCCCATAAGTTTCATTTAAAATAAACGTTGCGCTGGAAATAGAAAAATATTATAACATATATAGTTATACTTCCAGTATTGTGATTGAACAATATTTTTCGTAGCATTGTTCAAGCAATGCTCTTTTATTAGAGAATTGAATTCCCCGAAAATCCTATTACTTGAAATATATGAGGGTTTAAGAGAACGTCACTTAAAATATTTATACGGGAAATATTGCGGTAATTCCTCGTGTAATCTCTTTAATTTTAAATTATTTTTCACTCACAACATAATTAGTTAATTAAAATTTCCATTCACAGAAATCATGTTATCCCTACAAACATGGTTAAAGTAATTAACAATTTAATGTGGTTAACTCGGCGAATGCTTTTGTTTCGTTTTATAGACAATTGTATTAAATTTAACAACTATTTTTCTATGAAAAGCAAAATTCGATGATAATTACGAATAAACAATAAAAAATGCATGATCGCCATTCGAGTCGGCCTGAAATTAATTTTAGTTTTAATATCCTGTATATATTTATGGATTCATTAATATCCAAAATTGATTTTAATTTAAAATAAGGTTTTATTATTTTTGGCGATAATCTCATTTAATTATAATACGTGAGATTCAAAGACTATCCAAATAAATAAACAATAACTAATACTCAAATTAATTATAAAGCTTTGTGTGCTCAAGTAATTGTTTGGAATGGAGTGTTGCACCTCTCAAAACTTAAGTTCAAATCCAAAGATAAACATTTTAAATTAACCCACACATAAGCTTTAATAAGGCCTGTTCATTTTCACACTACCCTTAAACGCACAAATTACACAAAACAATTTAAAAAATTTTATTTTTCAATATTAATTATTTTCACTACAAACTTTTGTTTTATTTTAAAACACGTTATGCACTGCTTTATTATTTTCAAACAGATGTTCCGAACGTTTTGGCCAAATGTTCATCTTTTTTTTTAATCCACAAATGTTGAATTTTCGAAAACTTAAAAGAGCTCTCACCGATTTTGCCGATAGATGGCTCAAAACTTGCATAATATGAGACACTTCATTTGAAAGTAAACATTTAATAGATGATTTAAAAAAAAGTTTATTTAGTATAAAGATTCGACGTCTGGAATATGAGTAAATGGTTTGCTAAGAAGTTTCGACATGATTTAAAAGTGTCCAACTCCAACATTTTTTATTGGTAAGTTTTAATGCATCGACCGTCCCTGAAGAACTCTCTTAATAGTCTTAAGGTAAAATGTTTGTAAAAATCACTTGGTTAAATTTGTAGCCCAAAAACCACATAAGATGATTTAATAAAGTTAAAGTTCTTTAAACTTAATTTAATTTATTCCCATTTTGCAATAAAAATGGCATTGCTATTGAGTAGAAGTGTCCCCAAATAAGCCTACAATTTTTGAGATTGAAAAAAAAATAAAAAAGTATTTTTAAAATAATCCACTCATTATTATCAATTCGTAAATAAAATGGCGTTTATCAAACTTAATACATAATATACTAGCCGGCAAAGGTGTACATTAAAATGCTTGTGTACGTTAGCAGTAGACATGTAATAAAATAATAAAATCAATAACGTCTAAAAATTTATGTGACGGTTAAATTTTTTGTGTGTCATGCAACTGCAGTACAGTGGTAAGCTTAATTTTTTATTTGTTAGCTAACCTTTTATGACAAGTCACTTGTACTCCTTATAACATATTTATTTATATTGTTCTGATCCCTTAAATGTTACGAGTTAAGGCCTTTTTCTTAAACTACTTTATGGGCGCCTTACGTTTAAACATTTATAAATTTGCCCGAATATTTTTACTGTTTTCGTCTGCGACGTTTTTTATTGTTCTTATTTATTTAGACGTTTTTTGGCATTATTGAGCTACAAGTTGTTGCTCACATTGCTTACGCTTACATGTTTTATTCATGCAAGCTCACTTAAAAATCACGCGACATGTAAATAGATAAATAAAGTCGAAAAATTATAAACCTAAAAGTATATAGATTTTTGCTCGTTAATTCGGCATATTTGTTGGTTATATTTGTTTTGAACATTGTTCAAGCTTAATCCTTACAATAAACTATCTAGTTGAATTAGTGCTTCGAATAATTACGTAAGGAACTTTGTAACATGGAATATATATATATATGCATGCATATACTTTGGTATACGTATTGTAACATACACAAATAGGAGATGAATTCGTTACTTATACCAAATTAATACTCCATAATTTTCAAGGGGCTCGGCTTTATCATGCAAGTAATCGAGAGCACACCACCAAATTAATAATCCTATGAAATGGATGGATTATCTATATTTTAATTACATTTTTCATACAAATTAAATACAGTGATCTTAAGTTCAAAATTCTTGTATCACATGGTTATTTTTCATATTATTTGGAGTGCCCTTTAGAAGTTGATGGGGTGTATACAATTTATGATTAGATAACTTCCCTCATATAGGCTAGGGTGTATGAATATCCAGATTCACCCCACGTCTTATATAATACTAACTCGAATATTATATTGAGATTGGGGATCAAATCTCAACAATTTTTCTCATATTTTAGTAAAAATGTAGTTATAGTGTTAATTTTTAAAACATCACGTATAAATCGACGCACACTGAATGGCACTCTGGGATAAAACTCAGTGTTCTTGTAGAAGAACTTGTGTGCAATGCAATTTCTCTTGAATTATTAAGTTTAACAGAAAGGATAGATATATTCCAATGGGATTTTAAAGTTTTACATAAAATCGCAAAGATATACAAAGTGTTCATAGAAAATAAATATTTTAATTTTTAGGCGCAAATAAATCTTGCGAGGGGTTGAAAATTGTTTAATTACAAATTGTAAATAATCAGGGTTAAATAAAGATAAATTATGTATTTAACATTATTGGAAACAAACTGCATCTTGCTTTTGAAATTTCGGGGAATATTCCCTAACCGTGACTAAATTTCATCCACCGTTTGGGTCTGAAATATATTGGTTTTCCTTAAGTACCTAATTGCTTGGTAAATAAGGTTCTGAAATCGAATATAACACACAACACACCATTAAATTTTAAGTCAAATACAAACACAATTCAATAATCTGGATTTGCTTAAACTCAACCAATTTTAATATTTAATCTGGCTACAGTCTATTGTTTTAATTAATAGGGTAGTCAAAGAGATTCAGAACCAACAATAAGGGCAAACAGTATCAAACTCTGGATTAGAGTTGGGTAAAAAAAATTAAATATTGAAATACTTTGTGTTCGTCATAGATAAATTATGGTATGCAATCTGCATTTTAAATTTGTAGCATAATGTATGAACTATTTTTTCACTATTAAAATATACTATGTATGTTATAAATTACGTAATTTTTTTACCTAAAAATGTATTTACTTTATTATAATATATATTATTAATAAAACGCCCATTATCGTATGTTTCTATGACTCTAAGTGACAAGCTGTGGCTTTATGACGTTTTAGTCACGGGCTGAAGTTGGCTTTAGAAGAAAAATTCAAAACCTGCGTAAAAATGATTAATGTTTAAAATTGTGAAGTTAATATATGGATCGTTCCGAAAATAAGTAGTATAAAAAATATGCTTTTCGAAAAGCCATTTTGACGAGATTAAGAGTGGAGGATAAGTTTCTGAAAGAAAAAGGCGCAAACAAGAGACGAGAGAGCGATATAGTCGTTTCAAGATGACTAACAAAGTGTGTTTATCAACAAGTAGGTGTAGTAGAGGCTCTCTTAAAAAAAAGTATTAAATTCGCAAGTGATGAAATGAAGCGAAAGTGTTAATCGATGTACGTGAGAATTTGAAAATATACCGCCAGAACCAAGTCTGTTACTGTGTGCAGGAATACTTAAGTACTTGGTTTTCCGCTTTACTTTGCTTCTTCCTGAAGCTCCCCCTACATCACAATGGACCGGATAAATACGTAAACTCTCTCTTCCTGCGACAACTTTTTGTTTACCACCCATTAGCAGATTCTGGATCATCGAAAATTGCTCTATAACGTGCATAAAAATTCCGACGTGTATATTTTGATATCGAGGTGCATAATGGAATGATAATAGGCCAATTTGCGTTTCTGTGAGCTGCAAAAGGCCACATCTAGGACTTAACGCTATGCAATATTAAGTAAACAGATTAGTTTATTATCCGGTTATATTCCATTTTAATACGGACGGTCAACAATTCAGATATAATTAATCTACAGATTATTATTCAAAACTAGTTTATTATTTGTACGTTGTACAATGTAACCATATACCCTAATCTATCCGGCCACTCTTTGGAAGATCATAACATAATTACTGATATTTTATTGCCACTGCACCGATATTAACTTACATAACATTGTCTTAAACTATACATTCCAAATTTCCATGTTTCAGCGATTTATTACCACACCTACAGTTTCAAACTAAACGGTTATTGCTGAACAATTTTCATACAAAACCCAACAAAATAAATAACTTACCAATATGCTTCCAGCTTTAATCACAATACTACTACAACGACAAAATTTCAATATTATGCAACAAAATAATAAAAAAATATTGAAAAATTGCTTTGGGGCTTTTAAAAAACTAAAAACAAAATCTAAAAGTGTTTTAAGTGGAAAAACTTGTTGGCAAAGGTAGTTTATATTGTGTTAATAGGTCGGTGTACGTGTAATTTAAAATAAATTTTCTAAAAATATTAAAAGAATAAACAATGTGCAATGTAGAGGAAACGCGTGTTAGCTCGGCTCGGTATAGATAAAAAATAAATAAAAGCACAATATTTTTCTTTTATTTGCTGTGAGGCATTACTACGTTAACCACATATTTGATTGTGAATTTGAAAAATAACAACTATAATATTCAAAGGT